TTAATTCTTAGCTTAGTTCAAATAGGTTTGGTTTCGGCGAGTCCATGACAATATTTACTGTAAACCCTCAATAAGGACCATTTATTTGGCATCGCTTATCCTTTAACCCTGTTATTTTTGTGTTTGGACAAAAAAAAAAGCTGAACAAATTCACAAAAGCAATTTTTGTGGCATAGAAAACAATTGTCACACGCAAATTCTTCTTTGGTATACATTATATAAAGGGTGGATTGCTTCTTCATTAAAGACATAGTTTCTAACCATTTTAAATTTGCAGAACAGCCATTTTGAATCTTAACATTTTTTTTTTTCTTTTAGTGCGACAGCTATTTTAAGTGACATAAACTTAGAAAAAAAAATGGTTCTTCATCAAAGTAAGCACATTACACAATGAACTTGTCAAACCCCAAGCAACATTAATTACACTATCCTATCACCTTAGGAGGAACCAAAATAAGCAATGCCTACCGGTAACATGCTAGATCCAAGATGGCTGCCAAGGAAATTACATTTATGAAATGTTTGAATACATAACTAACAATATTTCAGAGACAGTAGCCTTCAGCTTGTACCTCAAAGTAGGTCCACAGCTGTATTATTAATACCCGTCAAGACTATTTTTTTCTAACCCCCAAGAATGAGGTAGAGTTATACTGATATGCCAGTTTAGCCGTGCCAATGGATAATGGAGTAATGCTTGATGAAGTCTACTATAAAACGATGGAGTATCAGGTTACAATGGTAGTGCAAAATCTGATGTCTCCTTAATATCCATGCATGCTTGGATGGGTAACAATCTATCACAGTCACTATGACTGGCTGAGGTGGTGCTGAGGCCTAGTATTGTGACAGTTTTGTATATTGATTGGCTGAATTGTAATAAAGCTATCTGGTCAACATCTAAACACTATTGAGGGAAGGCCACAGGCAGTCAAATTGTCCAGAGTTCACCAACAAAATGATAGGATTCGACTAGCCGTTGTGATCTCCACATACAAAAATTGGAAATTCAACAATTTTAAGCGATTATCTCATTAGTAGACTAAGGCTCTGAATTCACAATTTTGGGGCTACTGCTCTTTGGTAGTCCCAAAATGTTGGGTGATCTGGGATATGGCACATTGTTAAGTGGGATAGTCATCTACAGAGAGTTGGACTGCTGGCTTTTTGCTCAGTAACCTAGCCAATAGTTCTCAAGGTAATCCTTTACATATTCAGAATTGAATGTCTTTGCTGCCAATCTAGGGAGTAACTGTTGCAGAAAGATAATAAACAAGTCATCCTTTTTTTTTTCAGTTTGCCTGTGCAAGTGGACTTTGTAGAGGCTCCTCCATATACTTACGTATAGGAAAAGTCCACCCAAAACTGATATTTTGATTATAGGTGCACACTGGTAAGTTGAGTCAGCCCCTAGCTTCATTTGCAGCCCATAGATTATGCAATTTTCTTTCCTTCCACCTATTGCTTGATCCCCCCATTAACACAGTCAGTGTTGATGGGGAATCCCCCCCTGCAGAGCTATTTTGTTATGCCGTTGGGGAGCCTTCCCTGGCGGCAAAACACAATGATCACTACTGCAAGTGACTGCATGCAAGAAATCTGACAGGCTGGTTGTACTGAAGTCGATCAATGGATTGACTTTAGTACAACCAGCCTTGTTCATAGATTAATTGAATCTCGCCCTGCCTAACCGGCTGAGATTTGATCCATCTATGGCTGGCTTTATATGTATTAGGTACGCCAACTGTGAGATCTCTCTCATGATTCTTGACTCTGGAAATTCCATATTTGCCGCCCACCTTTGTGGGTTCCAGCTTTGATAAAAAAAATAAATAAATAAAAATCCAGCAGGGAGAAAGGGAAGCTACAGCAGGTGTGCAACCCAGAGATCTCACTGAGACTCCAAGAAACATAACTAGTACCAAGTGATTTAACTCTCTTTGGGCAGACTGACCCTTTAAGGTATTGATAAATATAAGAATCAATTGTACTTAGCACAAACAATTTTGCAAACTGAAAATTGAAATTATCATTAAAAAAAATAATGAACAGGGTTAAAATAACTTATCCACCCATCCATCTCTTTGTGATTTGAGCCCTAGGTCGGGACAATGCATTGGAGATGATTCCGGAGTAAAAAGGGTTAGTTACCCCCACAGAGGATGTGATCAGTGGACTCTGGAGAATGGATACTGCCTTGACCTTCCAACCTCCACCTCCTCTCATCTCCCACTGTTCCATTGAACTCACTAATTCCCCGTCAGCTGGTCAGGAATAAAATGAAAAGAGCCCGGGGTGGGTCCGGCTGTACATCCAGACTGCAGTCCACAGCTTCTGAAGGCGAAAAGGTCACTGTCTCTTCAAAGTTGCTCAGCAAAGCTTTGAATTTTCACCAGTGGGGTTGGGGTCAACGCTCCTCAAGCGGGTGGCCAGGGATCTGTTACTGTTGGGGCGAGGAATTATTAATCATTACATCTTCTGTTTCTTTGCAAAGGCCACTGTGGGTGGTGAAGCACTCTTAGAACAAATTAAGAGTTAATTATTTGAGCCTTGTACAGAAATATGTTTGGCAGCAGTGTCCAAAAAAAATGTAGCTTGGCATCTAATGCTGATTGTGATTTTCACAAATGATGCAAAATACTTGGGCATCGATTGATTCGAGGCTTTCAATGTGTCAGTACTGTTGCAGAAACCTCCCAGCATGCTGGATAATTTCTGCCATGGGACGTTTGATCAAGTAAAGAACTAAATTTGTCCTACTATATCATAGGTGTTTAGTCATTAGAAGATCTGTCTTTGTGTGGTCAGTTTAAAGTGAGTGTATACTTTGCCCATAACTGATCAGCTTTTTAGTGGGCACCATAGAAAAGCTACGTTTACATTCCCCCTGCCTGATCCACTGATAGAGCACTCCAAAATCCAAGTTTAAAGCTGGCCATGCAACAGTAGAATTTCTTTGGTATGGAAATTATGAAAAGTCAATCATCAGAACATTTGATTTGGCCATCAATTTGTCAACTAATTTGTTTGAAAGCTCTTAGGATTTCAGGTCTGCTACTTGAATGTAATCCTAGGTGTATTGAACAGGTTTCTATTGTGTCTAGCACATGGGCATTACAATACATACAACTTTCCTGAACAAAACCTACATTCACAATTAGAATTTAGTTCATTCAAGAAAAAGTTTCCACTAAGCTCCTTTTCTCACTACAATTGAAAACGTCCATCTATTTGACCCAGCAATCCATTAGAAAATCAAATGTTTGCGAAAAAGAAATTCTACTGATGTGTTGCAAGCTTATGTCAAGTAGTACCTGGGGCTTCTTCTTCCCCATGTGGACACAACAAAAAAAATTTTTTTGGTTCTGTGGTGAAAGGTTATGGTTTTTTATTTTTTGTTCCTCAACGTTCACCTCACTTCCAGAGGTTAAGGGAGAACAAATGAGGGACAATCTTCTAAAACAGAGACACAGACAGCAATAAAAACATGACAAAGGTTCCAACATCCCTGTGGTAGACAACCTTTGTAGAAGGTGGCTTAACATGGACCTTGCATAGAAATGAAAGGCCCACTTAGGTTGCAGCTACCCCTTAAATGACAAACTAAACAAAATTTAAAAAAATAAACAGTCGATGGAAAATGTAAAAAAAAAAATACTTATCTTACACTCAGTTTCCTGTAGGCACAGGTGATTGTACTGCACCTCAGCATGGGATCCTGAGAAAGCTTGTGAATTTCTCGAGAAGTTGCTCCACCATTGCATGGGAGGCCATACTCAAGGCATTCAGGATCCTCAGCTTTTCCAGGCTTCAGCAGGAAGTCCCAATAATGTCAGCTAGGTGAGAAGCTGAAGTGTAAGGTAAGTTGTTTACCTTTTTCTTCAAATATTTTTTATTGTCTATACCTTTCACTGAGCTTTTTTTTTTTTTTTTTTTTTTAATCAAAATCTGGGGCTTGGGGGCTGCAACATAGGTGAACCTAGAATTTTCATGCAAGGTCTGATTTAAACAGTATTACAGAATGCTATCTGGAGACTTTAATTGCTAGGGGGAGCTTTGTTTGTTCTCTGCACAACCAGATTGGTCAATTTCCTCTTCAAAGCTTGCCTAACACCATTAAATGTAAATAAATAAATAAATGATTATGCCCCCTTTTTGTTTAAACAAGAAAAAATATGTGGTAAGCATTTGGACCCTAAGGGGATTATAATGCCGTAACCAAGGTTAATCAGAAGCTCTTCAACAGCCCACCATTGCCACATAAAAAAGAGAGGTAGAGGATATATTGTGTTTTTTGTCTTCTTATTTTTGTAGTGTCATAGAACAATTGTCAGCCGAGATGCATGATAGGAGTGTGACATCAAAGAGAAATGGACATAACGTGTGAAACTAAACCCCATTGTAGGCCATCCTGCCAATCAGTATTGCCAGTGTGCATGACTGACAGGAGGCATCCTTATGTCTTCTTACAGCTCCACCCAACATCCATCAAGGATGCACGGCCTGAAAAGATCTAAGTAAGTCATGAGTCAGGCTGTTTTGTCCTGAAAACCTGTTATTGGCCTTAAAGAACAACCCATATGCTGTTCCTTAGCCAAATGACTCAAGCAAAGGAACTACTACAAGAATCCTTGGATGGTGGCCAACCAATCCCCTTGTCTTATGTCTTCCAAGTCGTTGCTGAAAGGGTTTTAAAACATGATACCTGTATTTTCTGTAGTGCGCTCTGTGTGCTGACAGTGCCATAGAAAATAAATACATAAATAACGTGTACAAACCATTCTGTACCCACATATCTCCATGGAAAAGGAGGCATCAGCCAAAACGACTGAAATGAATTGAGTACAGAAAGGACAGTCAGTCACTCGTAACCTTTACAAGTCCTCTTAAGACACCTCAAGGTCAACGTTTTTGGAGACAGTGTCCCAAAGAATGGAAAAGGGATGACTATGGAGGCTGAGTGGGTACTATCTTTGGTTGATAGCGCAGTAGGCATCTTTTCATGCTTTGGTGCAAGCAATGGCTGAGCCACCTTTGGAGGTTAAAGAGCCGGAGGAGGAAGGTGGGCGCCCATGACCCTCGTCCATCCACTTGTCTAGGCTTCTCCTTCGTGCGTTCATGAAGAAGTTGCTAACGGTGGAGAGTTCTAGGCCCAGCTGCTGTGCAATGGTGATCTGCAGCTCCTTGGAGGGCCGCTGGTTCTCGTGAAAAATGGCATGCAGAGTGCGTCGTTGAATGTCGGTGAAGACCAGGCGGTGCCGCTTAGGCACGTGGTTTCTTTCGGCTTTGCTTTGCTCTTGCTCTTTCCTTTTGCAAGCTGCAGGCAAAAGTAAAATAGAAAATGGGGTGAATTTAAAGGTAATGTCAAGTGTAAGGTCACGTCTTTTTTAGTAAGCAACTATAAGGGTAAAGCTAACCTGAGAGCAATATTTGACGTAAATTTTAATGATTTTACATGCTTTCCATGCTAGATATAATTAAATCCTCTTTCATACAGAGTTTCATTGGCTCCCTCTACTGGCTGTATACATGTCAGTCATTGCAGCCAGTATCTGCGATGACTGCTGCAAGAAAATCAATTTCAGAGAAGCCACTTAGGCAGTGTATTGATTTTAGTGAAAGTCTGTTGACAGCTCTCTGCCTATGGATGTGCACTGAGCAAAAAAAGGAGCAACACATATATGTAATGATCCAATGTGGCTGCCCTGAGTACATATCCTATTATAAATATAAACAAGGTTATCGTTTAGCTGTAAAAATGGGGTCTTATGGAGCTTTGGTTCTTCGACTTGTGACCTCTAGTCACCAATATTAGGTCATGTGACCCATAGTGACTCTGCATTGTGGACACTGATAGCAGATTCTACATTTACTTTTCCTAAAGCCTCTAGGGTCCCAGTGCACTGACCCAAGGACTATGGACTGGCATTAGAAATTATTATACAGGACTTGTATAGTGCCAATAGTTTGCGCAGCGCTTTACAATATAAAATAAGACTATACTCACTTTATGGCCCCTAGCTTGGTTCTTTGACACCTGCTTGAATGGGTGACGTGTAGAATGTTGGTACTATTTACCAATTTTTATTTTAGGGTGCACATACACTTTAAGAACACATTGACAAAAGGCCCTCAGTATGCATGTATTTTTTTATGCTGTGATCTGATTGGTTGCTACAGACCATACAGACAAATTGACTTTGGTAGTTTGTATATAAGGCCTCGCTTACACCTGCGGCTAGGGGATGACAAATATAGACAAAAAAATAGCAAGGCGGCTGAAGGGAGTTGTACACATGCCGTGGCAATACTACCACCCAACACAATCCATTAAAGGGATCACTGCATTTACATGTAATGCACATGATAGGGGTGTAGTGCTGTGGCCTCTTAAGGGTTAAAACATGATATATTGCCTCTCAGCCACCAGTCAACTGCCCTCTATAAAGGGACCCACCACGACTTGCTTTTCAGTGGTCAATGCAAGAGTAAATGAACCCTAAGGGCCATGTTAGTTGTGGCTTTACAATAGGTTCAAGGCAAATCAACTGACTGTTTAGCACCCCCAGCTGACAAATACTTAAAGACCTCATTCACATGGGGCAATTTAATCTATGTCCAGTGCAGGGCCTTGTTTTACCGTCATGGGATGCACAGGTGTTGCAGGCATCCCAGGTTGCGTTTGGAGCCATCACCCAGACAGATGTCACATTGGGAGCAGCAGCTGTGTTTGTGCAGCCACAGACAGCAATGGGACTGCTGGCCCAAGGATGCACGCAACACATATATATTCCTATGCCGGTAAAACACAGCCCTTAACTGGTCAAGGATTGCATCACCCTGGGTGAACGAGGCCAAATATGTTACAACAAAGGTATACACAGAAGAGGCTTATGTACTGTGCCTGTGTTGCCAGCCAGCCTTTGTTTTAGTTTTAACCCATCACAGGACAAAACAGAGAAAAAAAATAACAGGATACATACTCCAGGTAGATTTAAAAGACACTAATTCAACCCTATATCCATAATACAGCCATAAATTTATTTTTTTAGGCAAACATTGTAAGTACCTGAATTTGACTTAGCATCAGCTTTGCAGTCCTTGTGCAGCAGACCTCAGACTGGGTGGGGGGGCAGGAAAAGCAGCACAAGGTGGTAAAGCTGTTCTTCAGTCATCTCTGCAAAGATTAAAAGTCCACGGCTACAAAAACTGTAGATGCTGACTTTTAAAAAACAGACACTTACCTGTCCAAGGATCCAGCGCCATCCTCTTCATTAGTCTTCGGTCCCCAGTGTGTGTATGTGAACTGCGGCCTGCTGGCTGTGACTCCTTGCGGCTTCACAGCCAGCTGCCCACTTCTCCTGCGCAAGTAATCGCTGCACCATTTGAGTGGTTCAGCAGCCTTCTGGGACCTATGATGTGCCCCAGAAGGATGCAGGCAGGTAGGGAAGGAGCAGAGCGTCCGCCTGGACCACCTAGGTGATGTCAAAGCCAGGTACCTGCTCCCCCCCCCCCAAAAAAAAAATATGTGCCAAATATGTTAGATGAGGGGAGGCGGAGGAAGAGTGAAACTTCCCCTTTTGGGTAAAGTTCTACTTTAAGAACTTGAGTGGCATGTTGATGGAAGGAGAGAGCAGAGTCACAGAGAAATGAGCTCATCACTGTGCTACTTCTCCTTTCACTGTACAGTCACAGGAAAAAAACTGTATATACCTGTATGTGTTATTAATCTGCAGCAAAGAAAAAAATCAGGTTTCCTTCTCTGCCAGACACAGCTATCTGGAGTGGCAGAGCTGTGTAAATTTTAAAATTGGATGGACTGAAATGCAAATCCATGGATAGATAATGTTTTTTTTTAGCTGTTTGCCTGGAGTTTGGCTTTAAGGACCCAGACTAGTAGTCATCACATCAATACAGCTGCATTTAAATAATGTAATTGTACTCAATCTCACACCAGTGTCCATTACGGCATTCAGTGTAAAAATGGTGGCGTTAACTCTCTCCTATAATGAACATAAGCCTTGCAGGATTTTTTTTTATTTTTTTTTATATATATATATATTTAGTGATGCACTTGTAGCATAAGGATGATGCTACATTATTAATGCCTAATCCCAGGTAATGTTATATTGATGTGTGTATCTTGTTATGTGGGTAATTATCAATAAAGCTGTATTGCCGCGGTTGATTGTGTTATAGATTTCACAAGTTACAGCGGCTGATATCCCCCCATTGCTTGTTTTCCCGTCTACTGTCCCCATCTGGTCAGTCCACCGTCCGTGCCCTTCCCCCCACTCCTGTCTGGGACATTGCACACTGATAGAAAAATATTGATCACAGCCCAGCTGTGCGGCCTGCACAGCTCACTGTATACGCGCCGGTTAACCCCTAAGGGGCCGTCGCCACGCAAGACATCGAATTCCGAATCTCGACAAAGGGGGGCGGCTTCGAGTTCTTCGTTAGCTGTTAATGAAGGAAAAGCGCCAGCAGTTTTGGCGACAAAAGCGTTAAAAGAAAGACCTTGGAGATAAAAAACCCCCCCAAAAAATCCATACCGCAACGTTCAACTAGGCCTGCTTTTATGAAGTCGTGCCTCGACATAACACGTCTCCCTCTGGGGAAAGGGTTAAACCAACCTTCCGCCGTAATGATTCGGTTAAAAAACGAAATGCAACGGGCCGTAATGTAATAACGCCGGTAATTGAATACGAAATGACAATAATGAGTTGATTTGTTCGGCGGAATGAGAGGACGGGGCTGGTTATGAACCACCTTCTTGATGAAAGGTCGAAGAGAAGATTTCCTGCGCGAAGGGAAACGAGGGCAGTTAGGGACAATTGATAGGGTAAACCTTCTGTTATAAGGCCATCGGGCCTTGAGTGATACCTGCCTACAGGAGGATGAGGAGGTGTCACCGTGCCGGCAGCAAGCACTGAATAAGCATTGCGGGGAGTGAGGCCCGTGACAATTTTATTGGAATAGTGATTTGTAAGTAGTGGAGAAGCAATTAATGGACAGAGGCTGAGAGCTCGACACACGTTAGAACTATATAAAGGTTAATGTGATCGCAATCAGCTCAGCTTAACGACACTGCGACGCATGCTAAATCCTGCCCCCGATGCCGTTTTATATATGACGCCAGGAAGTCGCTGACATTTGCATCCCTGACATGCGTATAACGTGCGATGGACTTCGTAAATCATTAGGCAGAAATGTCCTCAACCCATAATGTTTTAGAAATGGTAGAGAAAGGGCAATAAAAGACGCCTATACTGAGAGAAACTTGGAATTGTCATTGCTGACTTCCCTCCTGAAAATGCTAGTTGCTTGGCTGTTTTAAAGAGACCCTGTCACCTTGTGTATTCAGGGCTCTTGTAAAGGTCCCCCCCCCCATACTCACCTTGCTGCTCTTGGCTTCTAAAATTCAAGTGCTGGCAGGTGTTAGACACTAATAGGGTTATTTTCCAAAAATGGAGAGTGAAAAATCTGGTGCAACTCTGCATAAAAGCCAATCAGCTTCCAGCTTTTACTGCCAAATCTTAATTGAAGAAGCTGAAGCTAGAAGCTAATTGACTTCCATGCACAGCTGCACCAGATTCTGAGTGTACCAGTTTTAGTAAATCCCCCCTTAAAGGTAAATTATGTCAGTCATGTGACTAAGGTTTGGCTTCTAGACAGGAGTACTGTTACATGAAAGGAGGTCACATTCCCTCCCTACCTGGAAGCACCATATGGGACAGGCCGTTAGCATAGCACAAGGTGCAACTGTCCTTTAACATCTTTAGTTCTTTCTGAGTCAATGACCTGGAATGGGCATGTTGATCAGGAGTTGTGGACTCACTTGCTATTCAATTATGAAGCAGCTGGTGTTTCAGACAGTACAAAAATGGCAACTCCAAGTTTATCTCAGCATGTTTTTTTCAAGAAATTGGCAGGCTTTATCGTCAGTGTTTACTTGATCTGGTTTCCATGAACAGGCAACTTTTGAGGTTCCTGTAGAGAATGCAATTTGGCCATCTCCATTCACATACAGTCATAATACCCAGACATCAGCCTGTGAGCTACTGTTTCCCCTCAAATACCAAAACCTTGGTTTCTTCCAAGGGACTGCATGGGCAATAACAGTGATACCTGGAAGGTAAATATGGGGCTTGCTGGCAATATGACACCTCCCAACTTTCGGAGATGAGAAATGCAAGACACTTTTTAGGACAAGGTAGACAAAAGACACACCCCCTGATGTGCCCCCTATGTACACAGGCCATAAAGAATCAAAGTAGTATTAAAGCCTCACATTTTTTCTCAAGATCATATCAG